GCGGGCGCCGGGGGAGCTGCCGCCCGCTCGCCGGCCGGGGCCACGCCTGGGTGCGCGCTGGGCCGAGACCCCGCCGAGAGAGCCCCTGCAGGACGTGCGGAGGCTCACGCGTCCCTCGGGCGGCAGCCGCGCGGCTGTGCTCGGCGGGGAGCGGGCCTGGGGGAGGAGCGCCCGCTCCGGCCCGCACAGAAGCCTCCACACGGCCTCGGGGTGAGGACTTGCTCGTCCTGGGGCGTGGATTCTTCCCCCAGGTCAGAAGTGACCGCGCATCGCAACAATCTTGGCTAAAGGGGACCTCGCCAGACTCTTAGCCGTGGAAATGAATCGCCTCCCATTAATTCAGGGGACAGGTTTATCCTCCTGTAAAAGGGAAGCCGTGTTTTTATTTTACTATGTAAACCGAAAGTTTTTATTGTCCGGTGAACATTTCTTTCTCCACCGCTGGTGCCAGGAGCGCCGTAGACTCTTTCCAGTAATGAGGCTTGTAAATCTGCGGAATCGGAGCCAGGCGTGTGTAATCTGGGGCTGTGCCTTACAAGTTCTTCCTCCAGTCCACCTGGAAAAGTACTCCCGAAGATGCAGTTGGAGTGATCACTTGGCTCCTTGGCACGTCCCCCACTGCTTCCAGTTTGACTAATGTCTAGGCAAATTCCTTTTTTTTCTTCGTTACTTCTCACATTTTAGCTACCCACGGTTTAGTCTCGTGGAATGAGCAGGGGCAAAAAAGAGCAAATTAAGGCAAAAGCTTGACAATTTTGCCGCATACATTTCATGATGTGAGCTATCTTATGGGAGAAAGAGAATCAGACTGGTAGCATTTGGAACCTTCTACGTAAATCTTTCTGAAATTTAAAAAAAAAAAAAATCCAAGCCAATACTCATTCTGACTCTGAGCCTTTGAAATTAAAACATAAAATTATTAGAAAAGATAATTTTACGTTTAATCATGTTTTGTCCAAGCTTAGCATGACATCAAGATAAAATACGCGCAAAATAGAAGCATTAAAAACAGATGGAAAAACCTGCAAAAAAATGTTGCCTGGGATTTGTGACCTTTTAGAAAATGCAACATTTCCTGTGCCCAGAACTAAGCCAGTGTTTTGAAGGTTTGGTCTCAGTCTTTTAACAGAAGAGGAAAATTGGAGAAAGTTTAGAGAAGAGTAACAAACAAAGTAATGGAAAGTATTGCCTGTGTGAAGAATGAAATAAGATTTATTTAGTCTGAGGAAGAAAAAAAGCTAAGATATGGATGCCTTAATGACATCCTTCAATGAGTGGCAAGTGCAGCGCCATAAAAACTAGGCAGAAGGCAAACAGCATCAGTCCTCAGAGTCCAGGTACTGTGCTAGGAATGTGACTGGTCTTTTAGCCAAATCGCAGTTTCCAGAATCCCAAACCTGTCTCTGCCAAGCTCCTTGAATTCTTGCTTCCCTGGTCCTCCAACACTTTCAAGACCTTGCATGGCTAGGACTTGACTTTCTGCCCTCCCATCCCCCAAGCCCCTACGCCCCTTCTTACTTCCATGCACGCTTACAGCCTCTTTACAGCACAGGTGTGTATTTAAACTGCAAAGACCACCAATAATTGCAGGTTACTATGACGTTCCTCCTTCTCTCTGTTAAGGGTTTCTGGTCAGGACTGTAAGGCTTGTATAAAGCAAGTGTCTCTTTGGAATTTTCAAAATAGCCAGACATTTCTATCGCAGTCTGAAAGAGTCCTAATTCTGAAACCAAATCCTTCCTGCCTTCTTATATTCCCAGCCGTCTGCTGAACATTTCTACTTGGATGTTCCACTGGCACAAACTCAACATGTCTTGAATTCATCGAATCCAGATCCCCACTCACAGCTTCCTGAGCTCTGTTAATGATGCTACTGCTCTCTAACTCATGTGGCCTCAGACATTCTTTTATTTCTCTCTTCCCGCTCCCCGTATCCACCAACTCAGAGCTAGATTCCAAATCCTGTCGTTTTTTCGCTACTGCTCTCTAACTCATGTGGCCTCAGACATTCTTTTATTTCTCTCTTCCCGCTCCCCGCATCCACCAACTCAGAGCTAGATTCCAAATCCTGTCGTTTTTTCCCTTCGCATTTTCTCTCCATTTATTCCTTTCTGGTCTTACTGCCACCTTACTAATGCACTCCTGAGTATACCCTAATGATGCTGTTTTAACTGTTTCCTAACTGGCTGCCTTTCCTGTAGACTTTCCCTGCCCCCAATCCAACACCGCTATATATGCCACAGCTAGATTCATCATACTCAGATATCCTTTTGATTACTTCATCCCCAAACTCGAAGATTCAATTCAAATTCCTTAACCTAGACTTCAAATTCCTTCACTATCAAACTAAACAATCGCTCCCTATACCTATACCCAAACAATCTGGTTTGCTTTATTACCTTCCAAATCATCCTAACTGGCTGCCTTTCCTGTAGACTTTCCCTGCCCCCAATCCAACACCGCTATATATGCCACAGCTAGATTCATCATACTCAGATATCCTTTTGATTACTTCATCCCCAAACTCGAAGATTCAATTCAAATTCCTTAACCTAGACTTCAAATTCCTTCACTATCTAAACAATCGCTCCCTATACCTATACCCAAACAATCTGGTTTGCTTTATTACCTTCCAAATCAGTTTAATGTACAGCCAGTAAAATTTGATGGTTTGAATGTGGGTGTAAGAGAGAAAAAGCAGTCAGAATATTTACTCAATGAATATTTGTTGAGTGAATGGGAAGCAAAGCTTTGGGAACACATGTAATAACCCTGTGGGTACAGAGGGAGGGGGAAGTTAAATGAATACATGAGAAGGAAAAACAGCCAGACAGGCAAAAGAGCCAAAACTCAGAGAAGCAGACACTTATGGGGCGAGAGGAAAAAGGAGTCAGCAAAGGAGACTGGTAAAGTGAGACATAGGAAAAATATCTACAGAAGAGAGATTTGGGAAATAGGAGGAGGACTGACAGAAGGTCACTGATTCTAGCATGGAAGACACAATTTTAAGATCAAAACTTTAGATGGGAGCAGAAACCACAGCAGATATAAGATACAAACTGGAGATGAGGATGTGGAGATTACTGTGAAGCTGAGTTTTTACGCTGTGACTCTTCAGTCTAAAGCAGGCCTCTCTTGCAGATGTCTGAGAGTGGCCTTTGTAATTTTAGGGTGATCCAGTTGCCACAAAGCTGAAGCTGCTGTTTGTATATGAGAGGTTTGTAGCATACTCTGTGGGCCCCAGCAGTTTTCTTTTTCAACTCCTTAAGCCGTAATTTGAGAGAAATGATTTACCAGGTGACTTCTCCAAGGTTGGATATCCTTTCAAACAAAACCAGTATGAGAGAATAAAGTGAACTTCTTCACACATAATAAGCATGATAGGCTGCTTCACCCAACAAAAACAGTTATTTACCATAGGGAAAACGAACATGAGCTGTATTCTGAAGTTTTTTACTTCTCTGGTTTCTTATTTGTCTTCAGGAAAGGTTAAGAACACTGTATTTTATAAATCCTAGTTCTCATTCAGCACATCCAGACAAACTATCATTTTTTAAAAAAATCTTGATTGTATGTTTTAGTAATCTTAGCATGCTTATATGGAACTTTCTCCAGGTATATAGAAGTTGTGAAACCCTCGTACTTAGCAAAATGATATCGGATATAAGACTAACCTCAGCCAAGTTCAAAGTAAGAAGATCAGGCCAGGATAGCAAAGAGGGCCAGACAGCACACAAGTATTCCAAAGATGATCCTAGCAGATGTTTTGTGACTAGTCACAATGATTGGGACAGAGCTGTCTGGACCATGAGTCGCTCTACAGGGTCAGTAGCAGATATATGTGGCATCTACATTCAATCTTCCAAATATGTTTGACCACAGTTCCATGCTATGACATATTTGTTGGCATAGGTAACACCAGAATGACATGAATTATAATTAACCACAATATACTGTCATCATTTTCTTGTTAACTGGTAGTTTTTTTTCTCTTTTTTGTTTTAATGGCTTTCTGCCCTTCTCATTATCTTGCTTCTCAGGACCATTTAACTCCTTTCTCTTGAATCTGCTCTGCCCAGAGGCAGATTTTCCCTGAAGCTAATGAAGCTTAAATGTCAGTGCCTGTCACATGCATTCCTTTGAGTGTTAGGAGTGGCTGGCAGTTGTACAATATCTTAGGTTGGAAAGGGAGCCCAGTTATAATCAGGAACAAACACTAAGAAAGCATTTCTCAGAAACTGTCTATGGAGATCTTTCAGAAAAGAGCCTGAGCTCCAAGGATTCAATAAATGATTTTCTTTTCTTATCTTCAATTAGCTCTCACTTTGTAATTTTGTATTTATAACTCTTACAATCTTTTTTCTTAAAGATCCCTAAAATAGTAAATATAAGTTTTGGATCCCCATTAAACCTTGATTGGTTCCTTGTCCTGCCCCTAAAATCTAGAATCAATCCTTTTCATAAATATTGAGAATATAAGGAGTCTATGCTCAATCATTCAGCTCAGCATGGAATTGGATTTTCCTGAGTCAGCTCTGATTATATGCTATGCTTAGTTTCAGTAATGGTATTGTCACTCTATTCCTTTGTGACTACATACTTACTTACACACCTTAGCTCAAGTGTTTTAGTCACTACTTTGGATCCCTGTCAGATAGTTTAATTCATCCCAGACTGAGATCTCTCCTTATTTTCTCATGAATTTCCAGAGAATAGAATTCTGTATCTTCCCTGAACATCTGAACCTCCTCAAGTCCTCTGTATTAGTCCA